TTGACATACAGTACAGTTAAAATACTACAATTTTGTCCATATTCAATATATTTCAATATATTTGTGAATATATTGAATGTACAGTGCATCTAGAAAGTATTCACAGCAGTTAACTTTTGCCACATTTTGTTATGTTACAGCCTTATTCCAAAATGGATTAAATTAACTTTTTCCTCAACATTCTACAAACAATACCCCATAATGACAATGTGAATGAAGTTCGTTTTGAAATCTTTGCAATGTATTCAAAATTAAAAAAATTGAAAAAAAAAAAACACATGTACATAAGTATTCACAGCCTTTGCCATGACACTCAAAATTGAGCTCTGGTGCATCCTGTTCCCACTGATCATCCTTGAGATGTTTCCACAACTTGATTGGAGTCCACCTGTGGGAAATTCAGTTGATTGGACATGATTTGGAAAGGCATAAACCTTACTATATAAGGTCCAACAGTTAACAGTGCATGTCAGAGCACAAACCAAGCCATGAAGTCCAAGGAATTGTCCATAGACCTCCGAGACAAGTTTGCATGAAGGCACAGATCCGGGAAAGCATACAGAAAAATTTCTGCAGCATTGAAGGATCCAATGAACACAGTGGCTTCCATCATCCATAAATGGAAGCAGTTTGAACCACAAGGAATCTTCCTAGAGTGGGCTGCCCAGCCAAAATGAGCGATTGAGGAAGAAGGGCCTTAACCAGGGAGGTAACCAAGCACCCGAGAGGAGAACCTTCCAGAACAAGCATCTCTGCTGCACTCACCAATAAGGCCTGTATGGTAGAGTGGCCAAATGAAAGCCACTCCTCAGTAAAAGGCAGCCCGCTTGGAGTTTGCCAAAAGGCACCTGAGGGACTCTTACACCATGAGAAACAAAACTTTCAGGTCTGATGAAACAAAGATTGAGCTCTTTGGCCTGAATGCCAAGCGTCATGTCTGGGGAAAAAAACAGGTACTGCTCACCATCTGGCCAATACCATCTCTACAGTGAAGCTGTGGGGATGTATTTCAGTGGCAGAAACTGGGAGTCTAGCCAGGTTCAAAGGAAAGATGAATGCAGCAATGTACAGAGACATCCTTGATGAAAACCTGTTTCAGAACGCTCTGGACCTTAAACTGGGCGACGGTTCATCTTTCAACAGGACAACGACCCTAAGCACACAGCCCACATAACAAAGGAGTGGCCCAGCCAGAGCCCAGACTTGAACCCAATTGAACATCTCTGGAGAGATCTGAAAATGGCTGTGCACCGATGCTTCCCATCCAACCTGATGGAGCTTGAGAGGCACTGCAAAGAAAAATGGGAGAAATTGCCCAAAAAAAGGTGTGCCATGCTTGCAGCATCATACTCAAAACGACTTGAGGCTGTAATTGGTGCTAAAGGTGCTTCAACAAGGTATTGAGCAAAGGCTGTGAATACTTATGTACATGTGTTTTTTTTTTTCGGTTATTTTTAATAAATTGCAAAGATTTCAAAACAAACTTCTTTCACGTTGTCATTATGGGGTATTGTTTGTAGAATGTTGAGGAAAAAAATTAATTTAATCCATTTTGGGATAAGGCTGTAACATAACAAAATGTGGTAAAAAGTTAAGCACCGTGAATACTTTCTGGATGCACTGTATATTCAGAATACATGCTGAAATATATTTCAAAGTGTATTTTGGGAATGCTTTGTGAAATATGCTGTGAATATATTCTGGAATGTATATTAAATGTACGTCTGAATGCAAAATTAAAAAAAATAAATATTCCTATTATATTCTGAAATGCATTTATATATTATATTTTATACAGTGCCTTGAAAAAGTATTCATACCCCTTTGCTGCTTCTCTGATTAATGATCTCCTTGCCTGGCCTGTCAGTTTAGGTGGACGGTCATGTCTTGGTAAGTTGCAGTTGTGCCATACTCTTTCCATTTTCGGATGATGGATTGAACAGTGCTACATGAGATGATAAAAGCTTGGGATATTTTTTTTATCACCTAACCCTGCTTTAATCTTCACCACAACTTTATCCCTGACCTGTCTGGTGTGTTTCTTGGCCTTCATGATGCTGTTTGTTCACTAATGTTCTCTAACAAGCTTTACACAACAGCTGTATTTATACTGAGGTTACATTACACAGAGGTAGACTCTATTTACTAATTGAGTGACTTCTGAAGGCATTAAAGAGCGATATCCCTATTATTGCCTACTACACTATTTTGTGTATAGTTTGTCACATGTTATGATGCCATTGTGAATCGGATGCATTGTGGAGTGAGAGGAGGCCCCCCCCTTTTTATGCAAGTGGACTTTATCATAAGGTGCATGAGATATAAGGTGGTGGTCAGTATGTTCACCAACACTGGGAAAAATTTTTTTTGATGTATACTGTTTTGAAGGTATGACATTATATGTAACTCCTTTTTGGAGGTACATTTTTCATACAAAAGTGGACAGATTTAGGAGCTCAACCACGAAGGAAAGGATTTTGTGGACACTTTTCCAAATTTTTAAGAGGGTAAGAGTAAGGATGACAGAAGGTTAGAAGTGGACATACGGTGGAGTGGAGTGATTTTTCACTTATTGCCACTAATTTTGTAAATTTTTGTGTTGGATATCATGCATTTTAGATAATGCACTATATGCGATTCATATTTTTTTGAGGGTATTAAGTGGAGGCAGAGGAGTTTATCACTTGTGAAAGAAGAATTTTCTAATAGAAGACATCAGCACTATTGGGTTTTCTTGACACAGAGACACTGATTAAGAGTTTGGATTATTATGCAGACTACTACCAGATTGAACAAGATATCTAATTTTGGCACAGTAGTCAAATTGGCTTACAGTCTCCCTGTCAAAGCTGATGTTTCCACAGGGTCTAACTGCACCCGCTTCTTCCATCTGTCAGCTGATTGGAGGTACCACCTATTAAGTTACTTTTTATTAATGTTTCCATGTCAAACACACAAGAACAGCTCTAACAAATGCAGGATTTTGAAAGCTTTGAAACAACGTATTATAGAACCATGGTTCTCAACTGGTGGATTGTGACCCCATGTTCAGTGGGTCACCACTTTCCTTCACCTGCTTTAGGTGAGAGGTTCCTCAGTCTCCCCATAGCACGGCACTGTGCAGTACAGCTCTGATGCAGCTGTAGTGGGATAGAGTGGACATGTATTGTACAGGAAGAGTGTGTGGATACAGTCCACAAACACTGAGTGTGGTCAAATTGATGAGAGGTTAATTCAGCCTTCTAAAGCTGAAATTACAAAGGTTGATACAAAAGTGATGAAGCGCTACCAGAGTAAGCTGATAAAATTGGAGTATTGCACCCTGCCTTGAGGGAAAATGTGTTATATCTGCTTGATGTGCGTAAGGGCTCGTTCACACTTGACTTTATTTCTAACTCTTGCCAAACGCCCCTATAGCGTTTGACAGGAGTTTGGGAAGTGTTTTTAACGCTCCCAAAATGCCCTATGTGCGGTTTTGAGGCGGTTGATAGGCGTTTGCCAAGCGTTAAAACCGCACCACAAACTCCTATAATAAGATGAATGGTATTAACGCTCCGCAACCACGTCGCAAACCGCACCACAAACGCCTGCCAGGCATTTGCGAAGCAGCACCATAGACTTGAGTGGGAGGCTTCAACTCCTCTAGAATGTCTGAAGGACCCTCTGCACACTGAACTACTTGTAGAGTGGATCTGCTTCAACTCCTCTGACGCGACACGAGGCGTCAGTTTTGCCGCGACACAATGCTTCTGTGTGAACAGCACTGTGTGCTCTCATGTGCAGAATTTTCATAGGCATTTGAGAAGCGTTAAAACGCTTCACAAATGCCTGTCTGACGCCTGCTGACAAAGCTAGTATGAACGTAGCCTAAAAGTGACAGTCGTAATGTACCCTCTGTTGAGCCCCATGAGCCGTCTGTGCCTCTTTGGGCCAGTGCTGCAGAGCACCCACGATGGCAAGACAATGAACTGGAAGAGTTGGTTGGTACAAAAGAAAACCTCAAAGAGTTGGTCTTAGACCAGAGTTCCTGTAGTTGTCCCTGAGAATAAAGCTCCACGGGGTACCTGAAACAACAAGACCCGACGCAGACTCGACGCAAACAGGCTTGATTGAAGAGATGATCCTTAAGAGCGTTGGAACCTTCACTACAGGAAGGCTCTTGCAAAAACCACAAACAGACTTGTGGTATGAATAAGGCTTGTGTTCCCACGGTGGTCCGGGGAGATCCAGCAGCCGATTCTCAAATTGCCCCTGCAAACGGGGCCACACAAGGCTGGTCTCGACCCAGACGGTTTTCCAAAAAGTGGAATAAACAAATCTTGCAGCTTTATACACAAACAACGATGAGGCTTGAAGCTTGCTTGGAGGTCTTGGGGAACATGGTCTTCAGGGAGATGAGTCAGAGGGAAGCCAGGACGTAACCTGCAGAGAAGGTGGCTGGTCGGTGAGGTATTCCTCCGATCAGTGGTTGGAGTGGGATCCCGGAGCGGGCATGGAGATGTGGTCATCTGCCCGAGCTTGGCTTACACGGCTGATGAGGCAACAGGAACATCTCACCACGGCATATAAGAGGCAGAGGAAAAAGAGAAGCATCAGGACATACACTCCCACTTCCTTCAACCAAGATCCGATGGAGAACAGGAAATCTCCCAATCCTCCCAAACCCTTGAACGGATTCCAACCCTCCCTAGCTATAGCTCTAGCTTTTCCCTGTAATTCACTAACTTTGTCCATATGGGCCTGGACCTTGTCATCGGTATCTTCTATCCAAGTACAACAATCCTCTCCGATGAACTCACAGAACCCCCCTTTGGCGGCTAAAAGGTAATCAAGGGCCATCTTCTCCTGAAGCACTAAAATTCCCATCTGCCGTTGTTCTTGGGCAATTTCTCTGACAGCCTCTACGGTCTCGTTAAACATACTATCCACGATGACAGAAAAATTTTCAGGCGCTTCATAAGTTCTATTCCCCAATCTGTCCATGAGGGGAACCAAGCCCATGCCTGGTCGCCCTCAGAGAACAGCTCCCTGCGAACTCTCCCTGCCATCCTTACCTTCTTGTGGACCATCAACTCTTCATGATCCATCACTACATAGGATGCGGGGACTAGCTTTATGAGGTGTGACAGTAGGCAGGTGAAATCACCTGGTTGCGTCCTGGATGGACGATATATTTGTCCGAGATTCAGGGTTTATGGGGATTTGTACCACTAGAGGGAAGTGCTGAGTCCTTCAGCACTGAGATAATGAGCCCAGCTGAAGGTAGTGGGCTCATTAACACTTGTATAAAGCTTCCCAGAGTGCTTAGGGAGTGGCTCCACCCTGGAACCAGATCTGTGCCTGAACTGTCTGGGGAGCTGACCTGTTATCTGTGTGCAGAGAGACCAAAGCCTTTGTGGCTAACCTCCCAGTACTAGCAACTAGGTATAGCAGCAGGCTGTACCTAGTGGGTAGCTAGGGAAAAGCTGTTGTTGCAGTAAGTAGCCAAGTTGGCCAGGATTTATTTTGATGTTTCTTTTTGGTTTATCATTTTTTCTGTAAATATTGTAAATAAATTGCACCTGTTTGTTTTCACCTCCACTATTGTTGTGCTGTGCCTATCTTTTTGTGTTGTGCACCCATCCAGGGGGTCACACACACCCGCTGCCGAGCTAACCTTGTTACAGAGGGCACACGAACCTTTCGCGTTCTGGGGAAATGTTCTATAGGCTGCCGAACCACACAGAAAATGGTACGGACCTGTCGGGAGCAGGAGGAGTTTCTTCGTTCGGCCTCTGGCACTGAGCAGCAGTTGCACAGACTGGGGGATTGCTCCCTCAGTCTGCACATCACATCCGTCCTTCCAACAAACGTGGTCTGGTCGGTCAGTGTGGTTACTCAGAAGGGAAGTCTGGTTAGTCAGATTGACAGTTATACCTCCCTCACAGGTGGTAGTCCCAACAAACTTGTTACCTGTGCCAAAGCTGATGTTAAAGCACACCTGAGGGCTGCCTAGCTGTCCAGTTACCCATAATGGACTGGTGAGGGCCCTACAGGAGCTAGAGCTAATATTGGTGCTAAAACTGATGTTACCTACTAAAAATGTGTCATTAAGTTCTACCGACAAATATCTACGTGGGGGCTGACCAGGGGTCCCTTGCTTTTTCATGCCGACACGGATGTCAAATAGGGCATGAACAGCGGCCATTGCGGACATGTGATGACTAGGTGGGGGCTTAGAGCATACCCAACAGTTGGTTTTGTTGGCGGTTCTGGCTTATAACAGATGCATTTTAAAAACACACACATGTAGGACATACAAACAAAAAGAAAAAGGAAAATGACACCCCTCATTCTCTGGTGTAGCTGAAAAGCTTCTTGCAGTGGCTTGCGTGCACCCAGTTGTCTCGCCCTCGAGCTTGAGTGAGGTAGGTGTCGTCAGCTGGACTTGGTATGGTCCGGTGAACCGTGGCTTGAGTCCGGTTCTTTGATGTTTTTTTAGGACGACCCAATCACCTGGCTCAATAGAAAGAACACCCGTTATTGCATTTGGATCCGGGAGCGATTTGCGAACCCGGTGGTGTATCTTCTGCAGCTCCCGTTGCAGAGATTGCACGTAACCTGTAAGCTGTGAATGCAAAGACGACAACTGTTGACGAAAGTACAACCCTGTTTTAGGAGGTCCCCCAAACAACACCTCGTAGGGTGACAGCCCATGTGGTTGCCGAGGGGCATTCCGGATGAAATAGAGGGCAATGGGGAGACACTCAGGCCAAGATTTTTTTGGGTATCGGCCATGATTTTGGAGATCCTGTTTTTTAAGGATTCCGTTTGAGACGTTCAACCTTACTGCTACTCTCGGGGTGATACGGGGTGTGTAGCCCTTGGTTGATGTGAAGGGCTTTACATACCTCTGCAAAGATCTGTCCAGTGAAGTGTGACCCCCCTATCGGACTCGATGGTTTCAAGTAGACCCCAGCGGCACACAACCTCAGACAGGATTTTCTTCGCCGTGGTACTAGCGTTGGCATACGTAACGGGCCACGCAACTCCCATGCCCTGGCCAGTGTCCACAGCTCAGCTTCCTGAGCCAACATATGTGCGTTCAAAGAGCCCTTTTCCACAACCAGTGTGTGGCTTACCGTCTTGGGTGTAGTACCTGGACCCATCGACAAAAAGATTTTTCGCTTCCAGTAGTGGTGCTTCCTTCACCGGGCTGATTGCCGCTGACTCCAGTTCCATCAGAGAAATGCAGTCGTGTCCTTTGGAAGAGAGGTTAGTCGTGGAAAAAGAAGACATGTTAGCAGAAGAGGTGTTAGTATTGTTAGTCGGGTTGTAAGATTCAGCACTGTCATTGCTGTCCTCCCCCCCCTTCTCGTCTTCCAACACAGGAAGAAGAGAAGCTGAGTTAAGAATAGTGCATCATTTGATAGTGAGGTTAGTAGGGGTTAGGAGGGCTTTCCCCTGAGAGGGGTACCTTGCCTTGGATGTCCTGTTTTCGCAAGACCGTTCTTGCTGCACTGGTGTCGGTGAGGCAAGGGAGGGGATATTTTAATTCCTCTAGAAAAAAGATGGACTTGGGCCGACACCAATTTGCCAACTTCCTATGAGGATCCATAGGAGTTACTTACCATGGTGGTGACGGGGCGGAGGACTCATCAGGAATGAACTTCCACAGACCTTTAGGTAATTGGGGACAGCTCCTCCTCATGTGCCCGTTTGGTGGCACTGAAAACACCTGGGAGGGGGCCTATCCTTCCTGTGATCCAGATCCCTTGGTTTTTCGTGTGAGGTCTGGGACACAAGAACTTTGGCCTTGTCCTGTTTTCTCCTATCCATTTCCCTCTCTATTGCCGAAAGAGTGGAAAGGATAGCAGGGATAGACATCTCATTATATTCGGGTCGGGCCAGAACCAGCCTTTCCCGAATTTTAGTATCGATGTCTTCCAAAAATTTGGCCCGCAACAGAAAGTGCGTCGCGGTCACCTTTACCCCTTCAGTTGGAGCATCAGGTCCAACTTCCAGATCCGCATCCATTGCCGTCTGCTTGAGACAGCACCAGAAGCAGGCGCTTTCCTCATTAGGACCCTGGGTGAGCTTCATCATGTCCATAGTAGAGGTAGCACTATACATTTCTGGAAGCTTTGCCTTTAGCTGTGCACAAAACTCTTTGCCCCCTGAAGTCATCTCCTCATGAGTGGTTATAGAGCACCCTGCAATCGCTGCACTGGCCACTTCCATGCCCACCTTTGCCCGCAGGATCTGTGCACAATCCGACCCGCTCATACCATAGCTGAACTGGTTTTGTCCAAACATTCGAGCAAATCCTCTCGGATTGACCCGATAGTCCGGGAGCTCAGCCAGAATAGTGCGGATCTCTGCTGGGGGTGAAGGGGACATGCCAAACTACCCGTTTCCCCTAAAGTCCGCTCCCCCCTGTGCATTGGGAGGACCTTCAAATTGCTGCACCCTGACTGGATAGGCCTCGGTCCGGGAGGAGTGCAACTGCTGACCCAGCTTCATTGGTGGGCTTAGATTAACCACCTCGCTTACTGCACCTTCGGGTTTGAGGTCCCTCAGATCAGGGTATAGCTGGGGGGCAGGGGTCTGATCAGCGGCTCGTAGCGCTTTGATGCAATCCGCCCTGTTTCTTAACCGGGTGTCTATTCCTCTTGATTCGCAGATAGTCTGCAAATCGGTTGTTGAGAAGACTTCGTAGTTGGAAACAGAAGGAGCTGGGGTGGAGAAGGGAGAGGTAGAGGCTGAGGCATAGATATAGAAGACACGAAAGGTACGTCAAGAGTGACGCCACTAGCAGAAGAGACAGGTGCAGTTATACTTATCTCAGCCACTGTTGGTTGTTCGGGAACCCCAGCAGACCCTGATTCTGCCTGCCTTAGTAGAGTCAGCCCTGAAAGAGCTTCCTCCACCTCTGACACCGGATCCTCCTGTTTTATTCCCTCTGGAGGCCAGGTATACATCACCTGGTTCTTCCGGACAGACACCAGTTTCTGTATGCCCTGCCTCCCTAATTGGATTGACCTGTGAAGCCATAGCTGTGCGATCTCTAGTTCTGATGCCTGCATCCGTGGTTCAAATTCAGAGATGAATTTTTCCCACCTCCATGCGTCAAATGTACCTTCCCGGGGAATTTCCCATCTGGTACCCTTCGACCATTTATTCCATCTTTTGAGGGGTTCTGTAGACTTCCCCCCCTCCAAACTCACCTTCATCAGTTGTGCAGCTGTCCTTACCCTGAAGAGGGCTGGTTCCCCCTCTCTCTTCATGGACTGACTACTGCCCATCGTGACTAGTCACTGGTATACATCCCGTGTCCGGGTACCTGTTTACCCCCTGGAGCACTCGGTGGGATCCTACCGAGAGGCCTGATTCCACCACTTTCCCAGCACAGCGTAATTTATGTGATTCTTATCGATCACCCGAAGCGCATCAAGTGGCGGTCAGACTGAGAGCACACCTTCTACTCCCACAGCGCAATTTATGTTATCCTGACCACCCGAAGTGTTTGTGGTAACCAGGCTAAGCGTTCACTTCCCTGGACCGCCCACTCGCACAGCGCAATTTATGTGGTTCTCATCACCCACTGTGTTTGGCAGGCCACACCGCACAATGATGAAAGTGGCTTTTCTCTCCCTGCACACAGTAGCTAATACAAGTCAAACCAAAAGGAGGGGTTCTTTGATGTTACTTAGGGGTCACTGGTTGCCTGGAAACCTGCTAACTGACCTTTAGGAAAATTGTGTAAAGAAAAAAACTTTCCTAATACACACATAAAAACCCCTTTTCAACTTGAAAAACCGTTAAAAAGGACAAAGTGGAGCCTTATGAAATACACGGGACGTTTCGCAGTAAAAACAATTACACAGAGGTAAACCGAAAAACTGCGCCAAAAATAACCCCTGTTGCTGACGCGAAAATCACTCCTACCAGCGCTGCTAAACGATCCGCGCTACACACGTGATCTTCGCTGCAACCGCCTAAAAAACAAACCCGCTTTACAATAAGGAACTACTTTTAACAAGAAAAACACAAGAAAAACACAATCACTGTACAAGAAATCTATGTGCAAAAACCCAAACTTCACCGTGCTCACTAAATGTGGAACACGTGAGGGAAAACCTCGCTTAAACACACTTTAAATTGGCTGGCAATACGCAAATTTAAAGCTAAAAGCAAACAACTTAACTATAAAAATTTGGATTAAAAACACAATGTGGGTCAAATGCATATAGAAAACTGCATATACATTGCACAGAGATTACTGCACATGTGGTAGTCAACAAAATGGCCACCAGAGAAAGCACATGTGGTAGTCAACAAAATGGCCACCACCAGAGAAAGCACATGGCAGTCAATAAAATGGCCACCACCAGAGAAAGCACATGGCAGACACTAGCCTCAAAATTGCCTCTAACCTCTTACATAAAACAGACTTTTGGACAAAGCATACACTGGACAATTACACAACAATATACAGTACACATATAGCACAAATTGGCACAATCACAGAACAGACATAGAAAAACCAAAATATCACACTAACATGTGCATGTAACAGAAAGGACCCACTGCTGCATGCTTGCTGGGAGCAGTAGTACCGACAAAACACTGCACAGACTACATACACACAAAGGTCTTACAACAGTTAACGGTTATCCTAAACCTTTCAGCACTGTAATAATGACCTCACGTGGAGGGAGGTAAAGCAATTACCACAGTACCTACAACCCGCAAATACTTACCTAAACTATGCAAAAACTTTTACCCACTAAAACATATACCCGTTTAATTTTTGGTTGAAAGATTTTTAAACTTGACCAAATCCAGCCAACCAAACCCACCCCTCTGCTGCTTTTA